TACCGTAGAAAAAAGTTAGGAAAGAGGAAGTGCAAGAAATGAATCCTCCGCAGTTCCACAGAACGGAGAATATGTCTAATTTGACTTTCCTTAATGACGCAGGCGTACTGTATAACCTGCGGGAACGCTACAACTCCATGCTGATCTACGTACGTGCGGTTTTGGCTTTCATCACGAACGCGTGCATGACCTTTTAAGTTTCTAGACTTACTCAGGTCTATTTTGCGTCGTCATAAATCCATACCAGAAAATTCCGGTATACACAGAAGACATCGTCAAGATGTACATGGGAAAAGGGCGAACGGAAATGCCACCTCATCTTTTCGCCGTTGCTGACGAAGCTTACCAAAACATGATGAAAGGTGCCGGTTTAAGGTCACATGCTTACAGCTGTTTGCAATGAAAGCAAGTATTCTAGACAAAGTAAATCAAAGCATCCTCATTACTGGGGAATCAGGGGCAGGGAAGACGGAGAACACGAAACAGGCAATCTTCTACTTTGCCAAAATCGGCTCCACGCAGCTGTCGGATCAGCGCCCAGTAAAGGTACTTCAGTAGAAGAAGTAACTGCAGTGAAATCAAACTTTAGACAAGCTTGGAATGCCAGATTCTTCATACGAATCCGGTGTTGGAAGCGTTTGGCAATGCGAAGACCGCGAGAAACAACAACTCGTCTCGTTTTGGAAAGTACATTCGCGTGTACTTCAACGAGCAAGGAAAACTAGCGGGCGGCGACATCGTCCACTGTAAGTTCTTCTTTGTTTCTAGAGGCCATTTTCTGGTCATAGGAGAGAGAGTAGGACGTATCGATTTGATATTTCATTTTTGTAGGTTTAAACATTGTGCCGATTTTCAGTCGGTTATCAGAGGAATCACGACAGCTCATGTCGCACCATTTCGCATCGCCATGTCAGAACTCTGCGTTGTTCCTATTATTTGAGACTCATTAGCTTGCTGACCGTTTCTACGTTGGTTGCACTGAAGCGTGATCGGGTGCTCAAAGGAATTTGTAGTTGATTAAAAAAGATTTTACACAGCATTGATATTTTCACCGAAGAATACGAGATACAACAAAGTATGAAATGCACTCATAAATAAGAACAGATTTATGGATATAAAAATAATCGATGTTCTAAGATGCTACCTCCATTGGTCTTTCTTAAAGTGCTAGAAGGAGTGCGATTCACTATTTGTCTTTTATTTATTTGCAAAACGCATGTGATTTCTGACAGGATTTCACTTCTACTGTATGACCTGCCAAAATAGAATACATTCCATTTAATTCTTCCTGATAAGCGTTCTTTCACCCTGATCGCTTTCCAGTGTTCACGCTGTAGACGTGCGGTGCCCAATTTACCGTATCTTATAGACGTTTAGTTAACTGCTGTACCAGATTGTAAGAGTTCTTGTCTGGCTGTTAAGACTGTTTATACTGCAACTATTTTATCCAATCAGATTTTGTGGCTGACTGGTCATTAAGGCAAGGTCGCAATGGACTAAAAGCATAATGAGTCAAAAGTCAGGCGAGGAAAACGCTTTCCTCGGTTGCAATATTTTGTCAAGAGCTACTGTTCCACTCCACATTTGAAATTTTTCCCAGCTGGAAACATTAAGCTTCGTCCTGTTTTTGCAGACACATTCGTCATAATCTTCTTTTGCATTTTTCGAGTAAGCTTTGGATGATGATCTCTCTAATATTTCTCAAAAAAGACAGATGGTGTGTTAATTCAGAGTGCGTGGAGTAATCCGCCAAATGGGTCTGCTGCGATGAGGGAAATCCCGTCAGCCGTTTGAATATATTTCTTCATTTGGGGATGGGACGCACTGCTGCCGGATCGCACAGCTCTGTTTTCCCAGTTACGATACAAACAAGTCACAGGACGCAAGTCAGTGATAAAAATGATCCCTAAATTCTATGCAACCAATCTGTTCCAACAACGTGCTGGAAGTTTTATACCTGTTCTTCGAGCGCTGTAGCCAATCCGCCTTTCCAAACGGCATAATTCTGACCGGTCCGTTTCCTAGCGGCATATTTCCCGCTAGTACGATTCCTATCGACACGTTTCCCACCTGGCGCTACCGTCGCTGCTCCGAAAGAACATAACCTTAAGCAATGTTTGCAGGGCCTACGGCACTAGCTTTCTTGGATTTTGACCTTCTGAGTCGCATCGAATGTGTTTCGATATCAATTTCTTGATATCATTACCGAAGCGAGATTAACCAGTCGTCCTTTGTATGCGGTTCATCAGTAGTCAGTCTCTTGTCAGAGGGTTGAAAAAATATTTTCGTGCTTTATTTAGGGTTGATGTCCCACAAACCTTTCGCCCTAGTTCATTGTTCGGGTGTTCTTCTCCCAGACAGGCCTGTCTTAAAAGTGAAAAGAATTCAAGCAATACGTCATTTGAGCCTCTTTATGTTGCTGTTCTGCTGCCCTGCCTAAGACTTCCACTCTACTGAATAATATCTATGATCATAAGCATTATTATATTTGTACTTTCGCGTGACCCATATCGTGCTCATTGGCCGTTACTGGCTTCGAGATGCTGAAGATGACCAACGGAAGGCTATTATTCAGAAACAAAAATTTCGTTGTTAGTGGCAAAAATCAGTTGTTATTCAGATGTTGACTTGAAAAATAGGCTCAGAAAGATTTCGATTATGATCCATATATAAATTTTGGTGGATTTGAATTTTACCACAGAATCCGTAGTTCTGAGAATGAAACCTCCAGTCTATTCTAGGATCTGATCACGATGTCAAATGCTGATTTACTTCAACTTTTTCATCCATCAGTCTCTAATTCAGACCACTATTCATTACGTAATCTTCTACTTCTTGCAGCGCTTTAACTCAGCTGTAGCCTCAATGAACAGAAGTAAGTCAAAATAGTAACCGAAGTAAATAAATGTGCAAAGAAAATAACACAACAGTTACATGCAATTCTACTTACAGTCACAAACAAGTCAGTTCCTCAACTCGCAACTTCTTCAAAATTTGGAACTCATGGAACTAAAATAATACTCATTTTCACGATAAAACATGGTAACCATAGATTGCACTCCTGTTTGGATTTTGTCACTCTCAGATAGCAAAAACATAACTAATACATGCATGGTCCCTCCATGCTGTTCAGAAGTGCATGGAATCACCGCTTGCACTTAGTGTGTCCATGCCTTCTCGATATTTTGGTCATTCCGCTATTGGATCCATTTTGGTTTATTTTATTCGTTAGAAAAACGGGATTCGTCACAAATGATGAAACTGTAAACAACTGCATCAGACCTTTTGGCAACACTTAATCCTCAGATCCAAGGATCCTGGGAAAGTTTCAATTCTGTGGAAAACAAATTTCGATTCAGCAGAAAGTTTCTTTGCAACCTTAGTGAATTCATATTCTGGACTGGACTTTGGACCCAGTCAGGAATTTTGATTTTTTAAATGCAGCGCATTACAGACAATTTATCGGCGATGAAAGTGAGTTAGCAGCAGTCATGTGAATTTCGATAGACTCCAGCAAGTTCATAATTTTTTTTAAATTTTGGAAGATAATATTGTAACTGAGAAAGGTTGTCAGTGAACCACAAACAAAATCAGACCCAAACAGCTTGCTCGTACACAATGCAAACAAGGTGACTTATGCAGTATATATTATCCTTTTCGTTTTTCAATCTTTTCACGCATTGGGTAATTTCATCTACAGAGATAGTAATATCCGTACCCTTCTGCTGTACAGGCGAGTCTTCCTGCGGTTGCGCGGAGTTAAGGAGTTCCTCAAAGTACTCCCTCCATCGCCGAAGAATGTCATCATCCTTAGTAAGAGGGTGTCCAGATCTGTC